AAAACTAGGTACCTATTTGTGTTTAGGAAGGATGAGTTGATGAGAGAGAACTGGACTGTGACCCCTGCTTGTTGTAGAGCTTTCAGTAACTTTGAACCATGGGTTGTCAATAAGTGAGGATCATTATGCTAACAGTGAAGTGTAGGTTTTGGATCCAGTGCAGTTCCTTTAGAAACCATTGGAGCAAATGTGCTGTGTTCAGTACCCTCACAAGTATATATCTTAAAGGTATTTTGAGGATTTTGTTTGGGAGGTCTTATGCTGCCAGTTCTCACATGAAGGGTGCTATATCTTGTACCTTGATATTTTAATTTTGGATCTTCTTTGTCTCATGGGGTATGTTTATGACACAGACATAAATTACAAGATTGGACATTCTTGATAGACTAAGTGACCCCATGATCATGGAATCATAGAATGGTTTAGATTGGAAGGGACCTTAAAGATCATCTAGTTCCAGCCCCCCTGCCATGGGCAGGGGCACCTTCCACTACACCAGGTCGCTCAAAGCCCCATCCAACCTGGCTTTGAACACTTCCAGGGACAGGGCCTCCACAACTTCCCTGGGCACTTTGTTCCAGTGCCTCACCAACCTCATAGTGAAAAATTTCTTCCCAGTATCTCATTGAAATCTACCCTTTTCCAGTTTGAAGACATTACCCCTTGTCCTGTCACTACATGCCCTTGTCAAAAGTCCTTCTCCAGCTTTCTTGTAGGTGTTCTTTAGATACTGGAAAGCTGCTATAAGGTCTCCCTGGAGTCTTCTCTTCGCCAGGCTGAACAAGCCCAAGTCTTTCAGCCTCTCTTCCTAGGAGAGGTGCTCCAACTCTCTGATAATCTTCATCGCCCTCCTCTGGACCTGCTCCAACAAGTCCATGTCCTTCTTATGTTGGGGGCCCTAGAGCTGGATGCAGTACTCCAGGTCAGGTCTCACGAGAGCGGAGTGGAGGGGCAGAATCACCTCCCTCGACCTGCTGGCCATGGTTCTTTTGATGCAGCCCAGGGTGTGGTTGGCTTTCTGAGCTGCGAGCCCACATTGCTGGCTCACGTCAAGCTTGTCATCCACCAACACCCCAAGTCCCTCTCCTCAGGGCTGCTTTCAATCCATTCTCTGCCCAGCCTGTATTTGTGCATGGGATTGCCCCAGCCCAGGTGCAAGACCTCGCGCTTGGCCTTGTTGAACTTCATGAGTTTTGCATGGGCCCACCTCTCCAGTCTGTCCAGGTCCCTCTGGATGGCATCCTTTCCCTCCAGTGTGTCAGCCGCTCCACAGAGCTTGGTGTCTTTGGCAAGCTTGCTGATGGTACACTCCATCCCAACATCGATGTCACCAACAAAGGTGTTAAGCAGTGCCGGTCCCATTATCGACCCCTTAGGAAACACCGCTTGTCACTGCTCGCCACTTGGACATGGAGCCATTGACTGCAACTCTTTGAGTGCAACTGTCCAGCCAGTTCCTTATCCATCACAATGGGTTTAAGATCAGCACGTGCAAATAGCATCCTAACTGCTAATAGATATACTTGATGCTTCAGAAGGGCTTCACTAAGACTGACTTACTTCCTAATAAGGTTCCCCTGGAGCCTTCTCTTCTCCAGGCTGAAAAACGTACATGTTCACATTATTCTAGGTTGGTTAGTCAGTCAGATTTCATAACAAACATGAAGGGAAATCACTTCAGAAATTCTGTGTATAAAATATTGATAATAAAAGCGAAACTAAAGGGATGGATGTCTGTGCAGAAAGGAGGAGAGACTATAAACAGGAGCAAATCAGTCCTCAGTGATTAAAGGAGAGGTATGTGAAGAAATGTTGATTTGGGTAGAAGGTGCTTTTTTCGGGGTTGTTTTCAAGTGAGCTAAGTCAGGGCCAGGCATCCAGTCTCTGTTAAGTCTCAGAAGTATGAAGGCAATGCCGCATTTTTTTCTGACAGCATGAGAATCCACGTTCTATGTTGCCAAATGGCTTTGGAGATCCATATGGAAAGACGTTAGCAAAAATCTCTGTCCTGAGCAGCCTGTTAAGTGCAAAGAAAGATCAGGGTGCCTTGATTGTTCAGAGAACTCTGCAGTTCTGCCTAATGTTCTCTGCCCTGTGCTGGTTGGTGACTTCCTCAAATTCCTCCTCCTGTTTCTGTTCATCTCTTTACTTCATGCCTGTCAGCTCGTTCTTATACCCTGCTGCACGTCCCTTATGCCCCTTGCCTTTTTGTTTAATGTCTCCTAAATAACCTTTTCCAAAATGGCAACAAAGCCGTGAAGTGCAATGCTTATTGCTACCACTGTTTGCTCTGTGTTTTTCAAGTGTGGGGAATTTAAATAAAACGTTATGAGGGTAATAACTCCTCTAGCTAGTGAGCCTGAAGCTCTTCTCCAGGTCTGGGGGGTTAAGCGAGTGTTTCCTTGACCTGGTAATGTTAACTTTTAACAGTCCTAGAAGGACAAAAGCGTTGATCTGCACCAACACTTACAACAGCCAAGCCCTGTTAAATTATATGGTAGTTAACCTAACATCCATTATTGTAATGGAGCAATTCATAAAATATTTATCCATTAGCAAATCAAAAGCTGGAGGTATAATAAGTGGCGATTGACAAGGTTTTATGGAAAATATCACCGTTCAAACAAACCTGATAATTTGTTGATGAAAGAAGCTGTGTGAATGTATTGTTAAGGTGCTCATTAAATAGAGGAAGTGCCTAATTGGTAATCAGCAATGAATCCATATGTCTATGTTCTGATTTCCAGGGGATTTCCATCCTGCCTTTCTCCATAGCAGTGTTGAACTCTATTGCTAGCCTAAAATAGCAGTCTGATGTTTAAATACCTAGTGTTAATTGTTGTGAATTGTCATGTAATTTCAGTTCTGACACTCCCATGAGAAGACTTACCAGTCTAGGTGAATTCACTGTATCCAGTATGAAAACAGCAAATAAGTGCTTGGTGTTTATAAACTCTGATTTTACAAGCTAAAATAGATTCTAAAAAGAGACTGCAGAGTTAGACAAAAATAATGGAAGAGTAGATTTGAAGGCCATACTTAGCAGAAGCCCTGTGGCTCTGGGGCTCGTGTCTCCCTTTTCATGTCTCAGACCTTCTCTTTGTTTCTTGCATAGGCTTGTAGAAATGTTAGAAGTTAGGGACCTCTGAAGATTGTCTGCTCTGAGCTCCCACTTGAAGTGCCGGTGTCCCCAGTGCTAGCTCAGGTCAGTCAAGGTTTTAGGTGACTTTTGGAAACCTCCAGGGATGGAGATGCCACCCTGGAATTTCCTTTCCCCCTCCATATTGCACAGGATCTGCACTATCAAACCAAAGCCGTGTAACCTGCAAGATGAAAGGAATAAAGAAAGGTGATGATGAATGGCAAGTATGACTTGAGTGAGTAATCAAAAAATAAGGAAAAGAGAAGGTTTGAAAACATGGAAAGACGGACTTCAACTCCTGTGCTATTGTTAGTGTCATTGAGGAATGCCTCCCTGAATGTGTCTGCAGGAGCAAAGTCTTGGGAAGGCTGTTTTAGGGAACCTGTTTAGTTGTAGCAATAGGAGCTTTTGTGCAAGCAGAAGCCTCAGGTCTCTCTGGCATTTTTATTGTGTCAGTTAAACCCAAAAGTAATACTAACTTGCGGTGAAAGTATCAGAACCTAAAGCTGCTTTGTTTGCATGAAGGTTTTTGTAGGATAGAAGTGGTAATAGAGCAGATCAGAATATTTTGAGAAGCTAATTCATGCTCTCTCACAAGTAGCTCCGTTACTCTGGGAAGTAACAAGAGGAACTCGTTGCAGCCCATAGGTTAGCAACTTTTTCTTTTTTTTTACTGGAGAAACTATTAAAATAAAGTATAACAAAATCACGGAAAATGTGTGGTTTGGTTTTTTTCCGATGAAATAGCAAACTTACATGCCTGGTGATTGGTTTACAATTTGAAGGTTATCTGCAATAAAAACGGACATAAACTTACATGGTTTTATTATATCTAATCCAAGCTTTCATTAGAGCTTGAATTTCTGACACAATCTCTGACAGAAGGTGTAATTGCAGAGACCATCAAAGTTTTTAAATTTTGGATATTTTGTTTTCAAATATCTTAAATTTTTACAATTCAAATGAAAATAGTGTGAAATTGCCCTTAGGAATCTCTGTGTTCTAGAACAGTTACAAAGTGTTGATGTTGACTTACGTGTTAATGAAAGGTATTAAATGTTTTTCTGAAAGTCTTAAAATACTCTTGAATATGTCATCGATTTTAAAGTATTTGTTTAACCTCATTTTTACATTTGCAGATTTTTCTGAGATAGAGAAATATGAAATTACTGGTGGAAACTTGCATGCCAATGCCAAAATTGGCTTTGGGGGCTGTTTAAAAGCATTTCAAACATTATCTGTGTTGTACTTTGCTCCATTGTCTCAGAGTAAATGGCAAGAACGAAGAATGTTCCAACTTTCTAAACCAAACAGTTTTCAAGACTAATGTTAATTTAATAACAAGCCCTCTCTATACTGTTCTCACCCCCAATGATTCTTTTGCAATTTGTTTTCAGGGTAGAATTGCTTTTTAAGACTGCTCGAGTGACATTAGCCTCCTTACGGCATGTACAGCATTATATAGCCTTCTGTGTTTCTTAAAATGTAGTCAAACATTCCTTTGTACAAAACATTGTATAATATCTAGTTTATGTACAGTATCAAGTTACTCTTGATGAAACAACCTTGACTCTTAGACTACCTTTGGTTTTTGAATATTGCTCTCTAACTGGTTTGGTCTCCTCTGGATTTGTACAGATTTGCTTCAGAAGTAACTCCTTCAGAGTGGTTATGATTAATTTACTTTAACCTAATCATGTTTTCTGGTTGTTGACTGGGGCGACATAAGAGCTGTGGTCTGTAGACTTTTCACTGTTGAAAGGAATTATTTCCTGGTTTACATGCTTAAGGTTTTGACAATATTCAGACTCTCACCTAAAAGTATGTTTATTTTTCACTTAAAATGTGTTTGTTACAGGTTTTTGAAAGTTTGTGGCTCTGAACTAGTACGTCTTGAGTTGTCTTGTGGCCATTTCCTCAATGAAACATGCTTGGAGGTCATTACTGAAATGTGTCCAAATCTTCAGGAATTAAATCTGTCATCATGTGATAAAATACCACCTCCGGCTTTCAATCACATAGCCAAAGTGGGCAGCCTAAAGCGTCTCATTCTCTACCGAACAAAAGTGGAGGTAGGAACAAGTATTTTTAACCTTTGCTGTAATTATTTTTCATTACTGAATTAGAATTTTGCATGTAAATTCAAAAGTAAATTAAGGAAATTTAAAGGTAGTTTCAAAAACCATATTTTTTTTTTTCAAAATAGCCTCTGGATTTAATAAAAATAAATAAAAAACCGGCATGTTTTAACTTGTGTGTAAGACTGGTGATTTTTCACCAGCTGTTTTAAGCAATGTAGTGAAATCACAAATGTGAAAGCTTTTCTCTTGTTTTGAAGTGTTCTCCAGACAGACTGTATTTGGCAATACAATTGGGAAATTATCCTGTTTAGTAACTTACTGTAATTGTCAACATTCTCCCCTTTAGAATGACTTACTAATCACTAGATCCGTACTGTCTTTGTATATTAGCAATATTTGAAGCACATCTGAACACAGATTTTTTTAAAATACTTTTCATTTACAGTGTAAAGTATTACTACTTTATACAATTACCCAACTGCCCGAATCAGGCTTATGCTGCAATATATCTCCTGTCTAAGATGGAATGGTTCTACCTGATACAGTTGAGAAGACTGTTGTACTTTACGACGTTTTACAAATGTTGTATCCCAGTAAATTCAGCAATTCAAATCAGACGCAACTCCGTTACTTCTCACTAGCTACATTGCTCATGTATTACAACTTTACTATTCTGTTTTACGTGGAAGCTCTCATAGTTGGGCTTCTCTTGTTGCAAAAGCTACTGCTTAGTAGAGCTCCATAATGGGGGGGGGAGCTCTGCAGGTTTTTTTCTAGCTTTTAGTTCTAGATTAAACATTTTAAGAAGAGTTTGCTTTTGTGCGTTACTTCTGCTTATGCTTTGTGAGGTTATGACACTGGATTGTGTGGGGTGTTCAGCTGTAGTGTAATAGAAGAACGGAAGCTGGAACAGTAGGTTCTGTCTACTAGATGTCTAACTAAAGGGCATCTGAAGTAACAGTACTTTTATCTCATCTGTAAGCAATTCACACCGAACACACATGCTGTGAAGTTAGTTGCGTCTTGTCCTGTTTTTTAGTAAATCATGTGTACGTTTGTTTCCAAGGTCTAGCTAGCGATGTGTAACGGTGATTTGGTAATGCAAGGTAGTTAGATTGGAGGGTAGGCTGCCTGGAATGATTGGCATTTGTCGTGAGGTATGCAGGCAATCACCATGAAGACAGTGCCCCTCAGTAACTTCTTACTTTGTGGTAATTGCTCTGTATGTTGAAGCATGTATTATTTTCTTCAAACTAAAAAATAAATTGGTGAGCCCTACTTTGAAGTGCCTTTTGTATAGAGCTGAATCGATGCCTTGGGTGTCTCTATTCTGTTTCTAGCTCACTAGTCTTTCTGTAAATCTTGGATAAATCTCCTTACCTCATTTTGACCGTGGGCTTTAATTCACAAGGCCTTTTCAGGTCCAAGAAAGATCATTGTATCACTGCTAAAGATTGGGTTTTTTTGTGGGTTTTTTTTTTTTCTATTGATGATTGATCATGATCTTCTTGATTCTACTCTGGTAACTTCTAAAGTTTGAGACTTTGTGCTTGTAATAGTGCAGCAGCTGAGGTATACTCTGAAAATGACCAGTAACTGTCATTTCTCAGCTATCGCTTTGATGAACAGAGCTTGAAATTAGATTGAATGTAGGAGGTAAAGATTTCCTGACTTTGAAGCCCTTAAATTGTGAAGATTCATTTCTGCCTTTTGTGTGTATGGACATGCATCTGCTTGTAGCTGACAAGGTCATTCATTCATAATCAAGCTTATTTAAGGCTGTGCTTCCATTTTATACGTAAGTGTAAACAAAAAGCACTGTTCCAAACAAGCCATAGAAGAGAAATTTCTAGAAATTTAAATATGTAAATAGGAGAGGATGCTTTTGTGTTATTTGTTAATAGGAAGCCACTTAACAGTGTACAGTGTACATCACAGGTGGAAAAGTAAAAGGGAAAAGAATGAAGTTGTAGCAGAGTATTTGAATTAGAGGATTAGACTTACAAAAGTCACAAACTTACAGAAATAACATTACCTTTCTCACCATGAGCTTCACTTAATGCAAATCTTTGTTTTTCTATACAAAACAGACTGCCATTCTTTCTGTACTCTTCAGCTAGTATGGAGATGTTAGGTAGTAACTGATGTCTAGATGCAAAGAAGACGGGATAGATAAATTCATCAAGTGTGCTCTGAAGTGATTTAGACTTCTCTAAAACTTGTCAAAGAACTGTAATATAGTAGTGTTCTTGATTTTTTCACCAAGGGGAAGTCATGTCTGACTAATCTGATTGCCTTCTATGATGAAGTGACTGGATGGGTGGATGAGGGGACGACAGTGGCTGTTGTCTACCTTGACTTTGGCAAGGCTTTCGACACTGTCTCCCACATCATCCTCACAGGCAAGCTTAGGAAGTGTGGCTTAGATGAATGGACAGTAGGGTGGATTGAACAGTGGCTGACAGAGCTCAGAGGGTTGTAGTTAGTGGTGCAGAGTCTAGTTGGAGGTCAGTAACAAGTGGTGTTCCTCAGGGGTCAGTACTGGGTCCAGTCCTGTTCAATATATTTATCAGTGCTCTGGATGAAGGGATAGAGTGTACCATCAGCAAGTTTGCTGATGACACAAAACTGGGAGGAGTGGCTGACACGCCAGAAGGCTGTGCCGCCCTACAGCATGATCTAGACAGGCTGGAGAGTTTGGCGGAGAGGAACCTTATGAAACTCAACAGGGGCAAGTGTACTGTACTGCATCTGGGGAGGAATAACCCCATGCATCAGTACAGGTTGGGGGCTGACCTCCTGGAGAGCAGCTCTGTGGAGAGGGACCTGGAAGTCCTGGTAGACAACAGGATGACCATGAGCCAGCAATGTGCCCTGGTGGCCAGGAAGGCCAAGGGCATCCTGGGGTGCATCAAGAAGAGTGTGGCCAGCAGGTCGAGGGGGGTCATCCTCCCCCTCTACTCTGCCCTGGTGAGGCCGCATCTGGAGTGTTGTGTGCAGTTCTGGGCTCCCCAGTTCAAGCAGGACAGGGATCTGCTGGAGAGGGTCCAGCAAAGGGCTATGAAGATGATTAGGGGACTGGAGCATCTTTCTTATGAGGAAAGGCTGAGGGACTTGGGTCTTTTTAGTCTAGAGAAAAGACGACTGAGGGAACTCAATGATCTTCAAGGTCCTTTCCAACCTAAACCATTCTATGATCTTATTAATGATTACAAATACTTAAAGGGAGGGTGCCAGGGGGATGGGAACAGTCTTTTTTCAGTGGTGCCCAGTGACAGGACAAGAGGTAATGGCCACAAACTTGAACATAGGAAGTTCCATCTTAGCATGAGGAGGAACTTCTTTACTTTGAGGGTGGCAGAGCGCTGGAACAGGCTGCCCGAAAACAGAAACTAGTCAAATTGACAACATATCATGTAATCATCCAAGCAATTGTTATGACAGTTTCTTATTTTAGCTGTTTGCTTTGAATAGGTTTTGTATTTAAAAATATTCCCATTGTCTGTGTAATCAAAGCTCCAAAGTGTGTGTTTCTAGTGTAATGGACAACGCCGGTGTTCTGCTGCTTAGTATCTTCATCACCAAAAGCACTGCTTTGCTGTTTTGGAAAATAGCTGTACCATCTGGAGGACTTTATGGTCTTTGGTTCTAACCCTACTGATTCTTAAGGCCAAATACAATGTTAGTGCCTTGACATATTGAGTGCCAGTTTCTGTGTACAAAATCGGTTTCAAACCTCTAAAGCAAAGCTTCCAACACCCTTGAATTATTCCAACCTCTCTGTTATAAGGACAGTCCAGTGACTTTCAGTAACTTGTTCCAGGCCAAACAAGAGAAAAAAAAAAAGGAAAAAAAAAAAAGTCCTGCATCACTGTAGTCCTCTTCACAAAATGCAGCTCCATTTTCCCAGTGCTTTAAATTCATTATTGAAGGTTTAATTCTTGAAGGTTCTTCAATTCTGTATATGCTTGAAATAATCTCTAACTTGCTTTGAGAAACTAGTCCCAACAATTTATAAATGTAATTTCTACTAGCTCAAGACCACTATTATACTTGTTGGATTTTTGTGCTGGTGGTTTTGGTATTTGCTGATACATGACTTAATGTTTATTCATTGAGAGTGTATTCACGGCATAATTCAAGCACTTGTGGCATTGATACATGTAAAGAATACAATGAACAATGAAGGTATTATTGTATACAGTAATTGGTAATGCACATCTTTATTGTTTGAGTATGAATATTATCTTGATTTAGTGCTTATTATGAAGTATTACATCCATATAAACAATGCAGCCAAAATTGTATTTTAAAGAAACCAAAGCCACAATTACAGTAGAAGAACTTGACAGTCTCCTTATTGCTGAGTGTAAATTTTAATGTAAGATAATATATTTCATGTTGCATGATATTCTGAATTCTTTTTAATGCATGAAGAAAATAATTTTTTTTAGTTTGTATTAAAATTATAATTGAAATACAAAATGAACTAAATTTAAAACAAATTACGATGGAGAAAGGACTTTGTTTTGGACACATTTTAAAGCAAGTGTTGTGTTTATAAATTATATCTTTGATACCTTTGACCAAGAGTAAGTTTGGAACTTTAGCAGCTGTAAGACAGGACATTGGAAATTTTAAGTACCAAGAAGAGGCATAAGGATCTTCACAGTAAAAGTAACAACTCTTACTTTCTTATGCTAAGAGCAATGAAAGAGTTAATGTTGCCATTAAATCGTTCTACAGTTTTCAGAAATAACCTGTTATGCGTTATGTTACACTTCTGAGAGCTATTGTGTGAGGTTTCTTGGCTTGGATGAAACTTCATTGGCTTGGGTACAAATCTTTAGGCTTAAGAGTTGCAAGCCAATAGTGGGGGGAAAAATAAAAAGTTAAAGCCTCTAGCCAGAAAATGGGCGGTTGAGCCAGTGACAAATAATCGTGCAATACAGGGCCTTGATGGTGCCTTCTGATCCCATGTCAGGCTCATG